GGGCGGCTGGACTAGAAACAGGGGTTCACTGTTGAATAGAGCGACCACTGGCAACTCTGGGGGTGAGTCAAGTGAACCTGTGTGTGTGTTTGTGGTGTCCGGACATTGTATGGTAAATGCATTTTGTGGTTAATGTTAGTGTCTTTGTATTGTGGTTTGTTCTGTTGGTTTGTTCTGTTGCCCCTCACTTATATTCTGTTATGGCTCTGCCCAAGTTCTCCTCCCCTCACCAGTTATATGTCTATCACCCAGCTCCTCCCCGGCTACCCTGGTTACAAATGTATCCTCTTCATTCTCCACCCCCAGCTGCCTGCCAGTCGCTTGGCACTCCTGCCCCTTTCTCTAGAAACTTCTAGCTAGGGTGTCGAGTGATTGGCTAAGGGGCCAGGGTCCCTCCCTAAGTTCTCCACTAGTGGTTCTTCCTTCATGTCAATCACTTATGTATCACGCCTCCCTGGACTCCCATTCGTTCCTAAGTTGTTCCTACCCCTACCTCCCACTCCCTTTAAAGCATGATGTTTCCCCGCCCTTGGGGCTCTTCTGTTCTTGGCCTCCTTGGGGATCCAATAAACCTGAACTTGCCACCAACTGAGGAGTCCCCTCTTATTCTCACGGGTTGGAGCTTCTGCACGGCCACGTCCTCGAAAGGCACTACGCTGTCACCGTAGTGTGAACCGCTAGCCTTAGGCGCTGTGCCCAACACAAGAGTTGGGAGAGTGCCCCCATTGGCTGCAAGCAGGCTGGCCAGCTAGCCGGGACGTTCTCCATCGGCCAACCAGCTTCATCTTTGTAATTGTGTGAGTGCGTGGTGTATGAAAGAGAGCAAGTAAGTGAATATACCTACAGTGCAGGGGGGTTTCCACCCGCCACTGAAGCAGCTGAGTGAGACCTGAGGCGCCAGCTGGGGCAGGCTGGGGGGGCAGGGAGCACCGGGCAAAGAAGTGGAGCAAGTGGAGTAGCGTGGGTGAGGACATTTATTGTGTTCAAAGGCGGCAATTTGTGTAGATTGTGCACACTTTAACCGTGGCTAGATGAACTCAAGGAGTTCCTCTGCCCCAGTGGTTTGGACTTGACACCTGGGAGTTTGTGAATCCTGTGAAATATTGGATAGATAGAGGAGATGAACGAGTTCATTTAGAGGGGTTTATTGGACTTCAGCTGGTAATATAGTAAGTCTGGACTGGAAACAACTTGCCATAGAAGATTTAGAATTCCCTCAACTGATAAATGGAATAGCCTGCCGCTATGGCCGCCTCCTGCCGTGGCTCCGGCCTCTGCTCCTGCCCTGTGCGCACAGACACAGCCGAGGGCTGCCCGACAGCTCCCTGCCGCTCCGCAGCGGGCCCAGCTGGGCTGCTGCTCCCTGCGGCCTCTGCCCGCCGCTGCCGGCCCCACCGCGCTGCCGCCTGCCTCTGCTGTGAAATACAAAGCTGTGTTTCATGTCAGGTACAAACAGGCGATGCATGTATTTGTGAATGTGAATGTGTGGACCCCGACAATGGGAGAGCTGTGAATTCTAAGAATAACTGAGGAAAATAAAGCATGGAAAAAGGCCTTTGAACCTATCTTTTGTTTGCAATTAACCCTGGTTGATTTAGGAGCATTGGAATTAAAGCGTTAAGGATGTAGCTTTTTGCTTGTAGTTAATCCCTAAAGAGCTCTGCAATAATAACCTTTTAAAGTATAATTTTAGAGTATTACTTGTATCCTATACTTGAAACTATAGCTTTGGAATTTATATAAAGAAATGCCTATCTCATGCCTTATTGAAGCAGAGAAAAACAGCTTGAGGAAAGAAGATGAACATCACCTCAAGGATTTATAGTTTTGACCAAGGGAAGCTGGACATCACTGTTATGAGATTTATAGCCTCTGCAATTAAAAGGTGGACCCACATCTGGGGAGCTGGACTCCACCAGATGGGATTCGTCTTTCTTCTTTTGGAAACCGGACCGCCACCATCTGGGATACTCCTTTTGAGACAGATCCTGAGAAACTAAGATCACAATAGTGTATAGAATTGTGATGTAATAATTTGGAATAAAAATTGCTGATGAGTAAAACATTGGCAATAGAAACTGCTGAAAAAGCTGATGAGTACCCCTATAAATACCTGAAGGGGGCTGGGGCTCACCGAGAGCATGGTGGGGTTGAGGGGATGGAGGGGGCCAGCAGGGAGCACAGAGGGCTCCGGGACTGCAGCTGTGCCAGGCCTTGGAAGCAATTCCAGAGCCTCCACTTTTGCCACAGCTGCAAGGAAGACCTTGAGGACAGCCGGAGACTGATGGGAGCCAGCAGGGAGGAGCTGAAGGCCAGCAGCAAGAGCAGTGAACGGGGACCGGCTGCTGCCAGCCTGGAGAGAGCCCGGCTGAGGCCACAGGCCCGGCGAGGCAGGCTGGGGCTGAGGCTGGCGTGGGCTGTGGCCATGGGCACTGCCCGGCGGGGCAGGAGCGGGCCCTGCCCGTGCTGGGGCTGCTCAGCGCAGCTGCCCCGGCTGGCACAGGGGCTGTCCTTAGGCAAGGCAGCTGTGCCGGCAGGGCCCGGGAGCTGTGCCAGCTCTGCCGGGCTGCGGGACAGTCCCGCCGCAGCTGCGCTCACCACAGCCTGGCCCGCTCGGCTGCTTTCTCTTTCCGACCCTCCTGGGGAGGCTCTGACATTTCCTCTTCCCTGATGGAAGTGCAGCTGCTGCCAAAGGAAACGTCCCCATACTCACTCCGTGTCCCCTTTGCTTGCCAGATGTCCCATCTGCTGTCGCCATCCAGGAGAGCTGCTCTGCATGGGAGGAGGAGACAAAGGGAGAGGCTTTGCAGATGGGGCAACTGGGATCCCTCTGCTTGGAGCTCTGTTTAAAGATACATATGGACTTGCATGTGAACAGGTATTTTTATATGGATATGTACATATGTAGCCTGCTATTTGTACTGGCATATTTCTATATATATGGTATTATATTTATGAAAGTAGTATGTATATATGTACATATATACATACATACAGGTTTGCAGTTACATATTTGTGTGTATATGTATCTAGTTCTTTATGTATGTTGTAATATCTGTGTTTAGATTTCCATAAGTATACAGTTGTGTAGGTATCTATTTGTAGTGATGTAGTTTTCGGTATATGTTTTTTTTAAATAGCTATACTGGTATTTGTATTGGCATATATGTCTGGTTTTATATTTTTAGCTATATATTGATCTATTTCTATAGATGTTATATTTACATATATCCAGATGTATAGCTGTATAGCTGTATAGCTATACAATATAGATGTATATTGTATCTATGCAGTAGTACAGTTATTTAGATTGGCAGTGCTCTTTGTCTCTTTATAAATAGGTTTTTTTATGTATCTGATTCTTAAATGTAATATGTAACATTTAATCTATATTAAATTTTACATATTACATTCTATATGTATAATCTATAACATCTGCATCTTGTGGTGGTTATATATCTATTCAGTTCTATTTAAATATGTATGGAGTTGTATAGTGGTGGAATTCTATTCATCGAGTTCTTGGTATTACATAGAGATACTGGTATTTTTGTATTTCTATATGGGCTGTACACTTGTTATAATATGCAATAAATTCAGTTGGTAATTTTCCATTGATCTTTGTGTATAATGAATGTTTTGGTTTTCAATAGATTAGTTTTTGTTCAAGGAAGTTGATATTTGTATGTTTCTAAATAGTTCCAGGATTCAGAACCTATACTCTGTCTGAAATCTGTTGTGATGTGTTAAGTTGGCATGTTCCGTGCCCTGGTTCTCCTCCCCTCCCAGTTGCTGTCAGTTTTCCTAAGTCCCTCCCTAGTTACCCTGACAATGAATGTATCTTCTTCAAACCCTGCCCCGGCTGCTTGCCAGTCACTCTGCACGCCTACCCTTTTCTCTAGAACTTTCTAATAAGGATGCTGAGTGATTGGCTTAGGGGCCGGGGCCCCTCCCTTGGTTCGCTACTATTGGTGTTCCCTTTAAGTCAATCTCCTGTATCCCACTCCTCCCTTTATTCCCATTCCTTCCTGGATGGTTCCAGCTGTTGTATTGTGTTCAGTTAAAGTTGGATTGTTCTGTTCCCCCCGTTGTTTGACAATGGTTCTGCCCCGGTTCTCCCTCCCATTTCTGTAATGTCTATCACCTGTCTCCACCCCAGTTAGTAATGTATCCCTTTCTCAACCCCTCCCCGGCACCCTGCCAGTCACCCTCCATCCCCACTTTTATTGGTAGAAGTTTCTAGCTGGGGAGTTAGATGATTGGTCCAGGGACCAGGGCCCCTCCTCCGTATTGCCCCCATTGGTATTCTCCCTGTGTCAGTCCTTCGGATCCCACTCCCTATTCTGTTCCTATTGGTCCTAGGTCTGGCACCTCCCTTACATTCTCCACCCTTTAAAAACCGATGTAATCCCTCCTCCCTTGTCTTCTCCTCTTCTCCTGCTGGTTCCCCTGGAGTCATTAAAGCCTGGATAAAACCTCAGTTGGAGTCTGCCCTCTCATTCCACTGGCCACAGCTTCTACTGGATCTTGTCCTGCACAAGGCAACGCTTACAGCTGCAAGCTGGGCGTTGGCCTTAGGCGCTGTCCTGAAGCCTGCTATCGGCACAATGCCCCTTGTGCTGCTAGCGGTGCTGGTGGGCTAGCTGGACGTCTCACTTTCAACAGCACAGCTGCATCCAGCCTCTGCCATCCATACCCTTTATAACCTGATGTAATCCCACCCCCGTCCCCTTCGGTTCCTGGCCCCCTCTGGATCTACAATAAACCCAGACTAGCCACCACTGAAGAGCGCTCTCTTTCTTCCTGCGGGTAGAGGTGCTATCGCAGCCACGTCCTTATCAAAGGCAGCACTGCTGCTTTAACGCAGAGTGCAGACCTTAGGCACTGTGCCCGACATTTAAGCTGGGATGGTGCCCCACGTTGGCTCCAAGAGGTGCTGGCCTGCTTGCCAGGGCGTGTCCCGCTGAAGGCACTTAAGAAACTGACTCGGGTTACGGCAGTACAACGCCCGACAGAACCTACGACCTGTCTGAAAGCGACTCAGTCCTCACTTCGTTGCCCAGCAGATCTTGGGCTTTATCAGGTGCTGCGCCCGACATTGAAGTTGGGATAGTGCCCCCCACTGGCTTCAAGCGGTGCTGGCCTGCTTGCCAGGGCGTGTCCCGCCGACGGCGCTCGCGGAACCGACATGGGCTACGGCGGAACGAGGCCGCTCGGGCGAACCCCGCACGCCCAGTATGGAAGGGACTCAGTCTTCACCTCATCGTCCGGCGGATCCTGGGCCTTGTCAGGTGCTGTCGCCCGACATCCATGTTGGGATAGTGCCCCCTATTGGCTTCCACTGGGTTCTGGCCAGCTCACGAGGGCGTGTCCCGCTGATGGTGCCTGAGGAACCAACCCGGGCTACGGCTGAACGAGGAGTCAAGAGTGAACCCCACGCACCTGGTCATGAAGGGACTCAGTCTTCACCCCGCCGCCTGGCGGATCCTGGGCCTTGTCAGGCGCCCGACATCCAAGTTGGGATAGTGCCCCCCGTTGGCTTCAAGTGGGTTCTGGCCCGATCACGAGGCTGTGTCCCGCCGACGGCGCTTACGGAACTGACGCAGTCCACGGTGGAACGAGGCCGCTCGAGTGAACCCCGCGCGCCTGGTCATGAAGGGACTCAGTCTTCACCTCGCCGCCTGGCGGATCCTGGGCCTTGTCAGGCACTGTCGCCCAACATTGAAGTTGGATAGTGCCCCCTGTTGGCTTCCAGTTGTTTCTGGCCCGCTTACCAGGGCGTGTCCCGCCGATGGCACTCGCGGAACCGATGTGGGCTACAGCGGAATGAGGCCGCTCAAGCGAACCCCGCACGCCCAGTATGGAAGGGACTCAGTCTTCACCTCATCGCCCGGCGGATCCTGGGCCTTGTCAGGTGCTATCGCCCGACATCCATGTTGGGATAGTGCCCCCTGTTGGCTTCAAGTGGGTTCTGGCCAGCTTGCGAGGGCATGTCCCGCTGATGGCGCCTGAGGAACCAACGCGGGCTACGGCGGAATGAGGCCGCCTGAGCGAACCCCGCGCACGCAGTCTGAAAGGGACTCAGTCTTCACCCCGCCGCCCGGCGGATCCTGGGCCTTGTCAGGCGCTGTCGCCCAACATCCAAGTTGGGATAGTGCCCCCTGTTGGCTTCAAGTGGTTTCCGACCCATTTGCCAGGGCTTGTCCTGCCGACGGCACTCGCGGAATCGACGCGGGCTAGAGCGAAACGCCGCCACCCAAGCGAACCCCACGCACCCTGTCTGGAAAGGACTCAGTCTTCACCTCACCACCCAGCAGATCCTGAACCTTGTCAGGCGCTGTTCTCAGACATTGAAGATGGGATAGTGCCCCCCATTGGCTTCAAGTGGTTTCTGGCCCACTTGCCAGGGCGTGTCCGGCCAACGGCGCTTACGGAACCAACTCGGGCAACGGCACAACGACACCGCCTGAGTGAACCACGTGCCCCCGGTTTGGAAGGGACTCAGTCTTCACATTGCCGCCCGGTAGTCTTCACATTGCCACCCGGTGGATCCTGGGCCTTGCCAGGCACTGTTGCCCGACATCGAAGTTGGGATAGTACCCCCGTTGGCTTCAAATGATTTCTGGCCCGCCCACCAGGGCGTGTCCCACCGATGGCTCCCGCGGAACCGACGCGGTCTACGGCTGAATGAGGCCACCCAAGTGACCCCACGTGCCCTGTCATGAACAGACTCGGTCTTCACCTTGCTGCTCGGCAGATCCTGGGCCTTGTCAGGCGCTGTTGCCCGACATCCTAGTTGGGATAGTGCCCCCCGTTGGCTTCAAACAGTTTCTGACCCGCTTGCCAGGGTGTGTACCGCTGACGGAGCTCGCGGAACTGACACCGGCTACGGAGGAACGACACCGCCAGAGCGAAACCAGCGCGCCCGGTCTGCAAGGGACTCAGTCTTCACCTCGCTGCACAGCGGGTCCTGAGCCTTATCAGGCGCTGTTGCCCAACATTGAAGTTGGCATAGTGCCCTCGGGTGCTTCAAGTGGTTTCTGGCTGATTGCCAGGGCGTGTCCCACCGATGGCGCTCGCGGAACTGACGCGGTCCATAGCGGAACAATGCCGCCCAAGCGAACCGTGCCCTCCCGGACTGGAAGGGACTCAGTCTTCACCTCAGCACCCGGCAGATCCTGGGCCTTGTCAGGCGCTGTCGCCCGACATCCAGGTTGGGATAATGCCCACGGGTGCTTCAAGTGGTTTCTGGCTTGATTGCCAGGGCGTGTCCCGCCAATGGTGCTCGCAGAACCGATGCGGTCCATAGCGGAACGAGGCCACTCGAGCGAACCCCGCACGCCTGGTCATGAAGGGACTCAGTCTTCACCTCGCCGCTGGGCGGATCCTGGGCCTTGTCAGGCGCTGTTGCCCGACATTTAAGCTGGGATAGTGCCCCCCGTTGGCTTCAAGTGGTTTCTGGCTCGATGGCTAGGGCATGTCCCGCCGACAGTGCTTGCAGAACCGACTCGCGCTACAGCGGGATGACGCCGCATGAGCGAACCCCGCGCCCTGTCTGGAAGGGACTCAGTCTTCACCCCACAGCCTAGCGGATCCTGGGCCTTGTCAGGCGCTGTCGCCTGACATCCAGGTTGGGATAATGCCCACGGGTGCTTCAAGTGGTTTCTGGCTTGATTGCCAGGGCGTGTCCCGCTGATGGCGCTTGCGGAACCGACGCGGGCTATGGCAGAACGATGCCGCCCGTGCGAACCGCGCCCTCCCGGACTGGAAGGGACTCAGTCTTCACCTCATCGCCCGGCGGATCCTGGGCCGTGTCAGGCACTGTCGCCCGACATCCATGTTGGGATAGTGCCCCCCGTTGGCTTCAAGCGGGTTCTGGCCTGCTTGCCAGGGCCTGTCGCACTGATGGTGCTCGCGGAACCGACGTGGTCTACGACTGAACGAGGAGTCAAGAGTTACCCTGTGCGCCTGGTCATAAAGGGACTCAGTCTTCCCCTTGCCGCCTGGCAGATCCTGGGCCTTGTCAGACGCTGTCGCCTGACATCCAAGTTGGGATAGTGCCCCCCGTTGGCTTCAAGTGGTTTCTGGCCTGCTTGCCAGGGCGTGTTTCGTCGACAGCATTTGCGGAACCGACGCGCGCTACGGCGGGTTGACACCGCATGAGCGAACCCCGCGCCCTGTCTGGAAGGGACTCAGTCTTCACCCCACAGCCCGGTGGATCCTGGGCCTTGTCAGGCGCTGTCGCCTGACATCCATGTTTGGATAGTGCCCCCCGTTGGCTTCAAGTGGGTTCTGGCCCGCTTGCCAGGGCCTGTCCCACTGATGGCGCTCGCGGACCTGATGCGGGGTACCACGGATCATCGCCGCCTGAGCGAACCCTGCGCACCTGGTCATGAAGGGACTCAGTCTTCACCTCGCCGCCGGGCGGATCCTGGGCCTTGTCAGGCGCTGTCGCCGATCCTGGGCCTTGTCAGGCGCTGTCGCCTGACATCGAAGTTGGGATAGTGCCCCCTGTTGGCTTCAAGTGTTTCTGCCCGCTTGCCAGGGCGTGTCCCGCCGACAGCGCTCACGGAACCGACGCTGGCTAGGGCGGAACGAGGCCGCCCGAGTGAACCCCGCGTGCCCTGTCTGGAAGGGACTCAGTCTTCACCTCGCCGCCTGGTGGATCCTGGGCTTTGTCAGGCGCTGTCGCCCGACATCGAAGTTGGGATAGTGCCCCCCGCTGGCTTCAAGCTGTGGAATCAACTGGGAATTTCTTCACCTTTAGAACATAAAATTCTATCATATCACTAAAACAATTCTACAATATAAGAAAATGCAAAATCCCTGCAATTAAAATTCAAGTCCAAGCAGCTGAGTTTCAGGAAAAGTCCATGGTCTGAAGATGTTCCCCTTTGCCATATCTGAAAGTTTCTTTTGGTCCTGAAACAGGCTTGCTACAGAAAATTCTATCAATAGTTATCAAAATCCATTGACAGTCTTCAATTCAAACAATTTTGAGAAAAGTTCTGAAATGTCTCGCCACAGCCCTGTATTGAACAACTTGGGCTGAAGCAAATCCCTATCTCCTCAATGCCTCCGAGCTGCTTTCAGCTCTTTCACCCTTTTTTACTTAATTTTTTTTTTTTTTTTTTGTCAGAAAGAGCAGCAGAAACAGAGGAGCCAGAGAGAGACCCTTGGGGGCCCTGGCCCATGTGGAAGGATCAGGAACCCCAGACCTGGCCCACAGAAAGGTGGCCCAGGACCAGAAGGGGGAAGCAAAGCCCCCAAACCCAACAGGAGGCCAGGAGCTGGCCCTGGCCCAAGCAACCAAGGCAGACAGCCCAGGCCGAGCCCCCGAGGCAGGCTCTGCATTGGCACAGACCCGCACCCTGCTGCCAGTACAATGGCAGAAGGGGTGACCAAACGCTTCCTTTCCCCAAAATCACCGAGGCATGCCGGCAATGGGAAGACAAAAGCTGTCCCGAGAATCTTCGTCTCGGGTCTGGGGATGTCCTTTCCCCACAGCAGACAAGCGATGCTCGCTTCCTCCTGTGCCCTCTGCATCTGCAATGCAAATGCAACAGGTATTCCTCCCATCTGCCTCACGGCACCACCTCCACCCCCTCTGGGCTGGGGACCAGAGGCAGAACTTTCGGGACCCACCTCCCCCTCGCCGCTGGGGCGCGTGAGGGGCGGCAGAGAGATTCGCATCCCCCAGGGGGAAACCCCGGACCAAACACCCCCCAAACCGCCAAAAATGCTGATCTTGAAAACAGGCAGCCGGGCTGCGCCCACAGCCAGCTGTCGGGCCATGCCTCCTCCACGGAAGGACAGGCTGATGCCCTCTTCCCCTGTCCCAGCTCCCCCTGTAGGGGGGGAGCCCCAGGACAACCCGAAAAACTTGGGGACGAAGTCACACTGGATGCAGGAGGCGCCGCTGCAGCTGCCGCTGGCTCCAGGGCAGCCTCTGATGCAGACACGGAGGACGGAGTCCCCGCGGGCGGCAGAACTGCCGGGGCAGGCAGCGGGACTGCCTGGGGAGGCAGCGGGGGTGGTGGGGGCGGCACGGGGTCGGCAGCATCTTCTGTGCCGGGCTCTGACATCAGCCGCAGAAGCGCAGTCGCAGAAGGCGGCGGAGTCCGCACGGGAGGCAGCGGGACGGCCGGGGGGAGCGGTGGATTGCTGTTGTCTAGCAACATCGGTGCAGCCGCAGGAAGCAGTGTTTCTGAGGCCTCAGATGCAGGCGGGGAAGCCGGCGGAACCACGGCCGGAGCACCCACAGGCTCTGCCGGAGGGACGGCCGTGGGAGGGACCATGCGGGGAAGCACCCGCACGTGCGGGGTGGGTTGGGGCGGTGCTTGCGGCACTGGGCGGGGCGGTGCCACCCACTCCCATCCCCCCTGAGAGCAACGGGAGGGGGGAAAAAACAGCTCCGTCTGAGCATGCTCCGAAGACGCAGTAAAAAAAACTTTGGCTGCGGGCGAAACTTCGCCCCCGCGCTGTGGTTCAGGGGGGCTGGAAAGCAGCAGATCGTCCCCCTCCAAAGGGTCTTCCCCCAGAATTGGGGGGAACGGGGCTTTCCCCTTGCAGTTAGCAATCCAGGGAAAAACAGCTGCTCTCCGTTTCAAGACTAGAAAGAGCTTCAAAAAGGTTGGATAAATCGAGGGGCATCCAAACCCACGGTATAAAAAGAATTGGAAAATGGAGCCCATACACTCCCAGACGAACATATCGAGGGCATATAGCACATTCG